ACTGAAAAAGGCACTTGGAAAGTGGAATGGAACACAACCTGCTGTTCAAGAATGCAAAAAGGAGGGTCGTATCTATTCGATGAAGTGGCAATTCTCATTCCAGAGGTGTTGTGGAATTTGTGTGCCTGACATGAGAGATCTCCAATGCAAATCGTGGTTCAGCTGATGAAGCACAGAGCTGCCAACATCTGCCTCCTGTGGTTGGGTTTTTAACTGCGCCTACACCTCCAGCAATTTAGCAAAACACAACCCTCCAAAACACATAAGTAGGTTAGCCACATCAAGGGCAAATAGTCAAAGGGGATGGTGCCTCTTGCCTGGAATTCGAAAAACTCTGTTTGGGTTGATGGGCTGCAGATGGCATCACGGGAGACACCCTGATTGACATCGGCAGTGGCCCGACCGTCCACCAGTTCCTCTCCGCCTGCGAGTCCTTCCGCGAGATCAGAGCCACCGACTACGCTGAGCAGAACCGGGAGGAGATGCGGCGATGGCTGAAGAAGGAACCGGGGGGTTTGGCTGGAGTCCAGTGGTGAAATATGTCTGTGGGCTGGAGGGAGAAAGGTATGGAGGGAGCAGCCCCACTGGCCAACTCCCTACCCTTCATTTAAAGTCTTCTCAGCTTCTTTCCTTCTGCCTTGCTTTCTGAGAGGCTCACCAAACATATAGGGTGGAGGAGAGAGAAGCCCTTATGTCTACTTTTACTGGCTGAATAAAACAGTACAGCTCACACATAAACCAGAGGAGCACAAGATAACAAATTGTAGCTCCTGTGGAAAGCACAGAAGGCTCCTAAAACAGCCAGCTGACTGGTGGTCTCATCCCAGCCCAACGATGATTAAACACCTCTTGAGCGCACCTCCTTAGGGAAGGTCACATTAACCTAATGTAATAACGGGTGTTTCTTCCAATGGAGGCTTGGGGAGAAGGGCTGTCAGCCTCACTTTGCCTCTTCCCACAGGGAAAAATGCCCAGAGAAGGAAGCAAACGTCCGAAGAGCATTCAAACAGGTCTTAAAGTGTGATGTGACCACACCGCAGCCTTTGGCTCCGATGGTTCTTCCCCCGCAGATTGCTTGATGTCTTCTTTGTGCTTGGAACCAGCTTGTAAAGACCTTCCCACCTACCAATCGGCTCTGAAGCAGATCAGTTCCCTTGTAAAACCGGGAGGGCCCGTCGTCTTACTCGCTGTCCTCCAGGAAAGCTTTTACATGGTTGGGCAGCAGGCATTCTCCAGCCTCTACTTGGAGAAGGAGGTGGTGGAAGGGGAAAGAAGCTGGCTTTCTTATTAAGTGGGTTGTCCTCACATACCTAAAGATAGTGGCCCAAGCCTTGCAATCGGATTGAAATTTGATCCGGTTAAATCCAAAAGATGATGATTGGCTTCTTTGCAAACAAACCAACTTTGTATTCCTTCCTTTTACTTTTAACAATCTTGATCTTTAGTCCCTTCAAATAATGTGCTAGAACTTGATTTTTTTCATTTGTTCCTTTGTCCCTTCTCACAAAATTCTTCATAGCTTTCACAAGTCTTTTTGTAAATCCAATATAGGAAAGTTATCCAGGTCACTCTTTTGCTTTGTTATTTGTACTGTATATCCTTTTTAATTATTAAGACATCAGCCGGTTCCCTTTTTTAGTATCCTTTTCCATGCCATTCTTGTAGCCTGTCATTTTTAAGTCTGCTTTCAGATCAGTCTCAGTCCTGTCCGGTAAAACTTGTTCTTCTTCCATAACTTCTTTTAAACACAGTCTATCTATTGAGGCAAGCACTCTTAAACTAATTTCTGGGTCCATTTTTCAAAAATATCCTTCGATACATGTGATGTTAAGGTAATTTGCTCCATTCTGTGTTAGCAATTCAAATTTAAATGTTCTTCTCCTTAAATTGTAGTCTTTAGTTCCTTCTGGTTCCCTCTAGTGTCCAACCTTTGAAGTCTCATCCTACCATTTTATTTTAGAGACTTCAGAACAAAAGCATTTTCCCATGGGATGGATTCTTATAATTAATTCTAAAATCTTATTCAAATCCATCAGGACCCGTAGTCCACTTGTAACTTTCCAAAATCAAAGTTCTAATCACCCTTTTGCTATTGACTCCAAAAGATTTCTTTTAAGTCCTTAAACTTGTATTTAAAATTTCTTTCACTAATGATTGAAGGAAACTCACCTGGTAAAACCTGTGGATCCAAAGGTTCCTAACAGATGAAAGGCAGTTAATAAGCAATTTCTGAAAGGGGTTAGAAAAAGAAATATGTGAAACCAGTGTCCTTTTGAAGGTATCAACCACGGTTTGAGCAAAAAGATGGCGATTCCCTCGTTTCCCAGAGCTCTAAGACCTCTGTCTTGTGGACTCCTCATGAGCAGCAACTGCCTGGAGCACTTGCTGGCGATCTCAAGCCCTCTCCTTGCCAAGAGGGAATTATGAACAGCTGCTCTACTCTCCGACTCTCCATTCCGCTGAGGTCATCGGCTCCTCAGTCCAGAGTTTTGGGGAGGAACTTATGCAATCGTGGTGCACCCAACTGAGAGCAGGACACGTTCTGTTCTCGAGCTAAGCAGCTGTTCCCGGCCTCCCCAGGCGGGTTGCACAACAGCTCCCACCAACCCTCTAACGCTGCCTGCCAGGGATTCTTGGCAAAACCTGGGGAACGTGGCATGTTCCAGCACCTCAGTCCTCCTGGGACAGCGCCCGGGAGCTGCCCCCTCGATCCCTCCTGAGAGCGGCGCTCCCTTCTCCTCTCCTTGGCTGCCCTGCCGCCGGCCGAGGGGGACCTGCTCTGTGCCTCCGGCCGCTGCTCTCCTGCGAGTGGGTGCGGCCCCTCCCCCCC